AGTGGATAATATAATACTGCACTGCAAGAACAGTATTATCGCAGTATTTAATTGCTACGCTTGTCGTTGCTGTAGTCTTAAGTCTGTAATAATCTGTGATTTGGCGGTTGTCTTGCATGCGCCTGGTGTGTTCCCTTGTTGGGCCGGCACCTTCACCAATCCACCTTTTCCAGTGTGGTGACCTCGGGTCAAAGACACCCTGTACACATTCCGGATTTTACAACTCCTACACATGGGGACTCTTGTCTTTGTGAATCACATTAATTACGGTTCTGAGGAGGAACAAATTGGGACATATTTTGACTCTTTGAGGTCAGGAAGAAGAAATCAACTCCATACATTTAAATGAGAGCCACATTTTCCATCAGAGGGAGATTTAAGAATTATGGAGGTGGATTCTCAGAACTGATCTAAATTCCCCTACCTCCTGTACTAGATCTTGTTTTATATTAATTGCCCTGTTCTTGCCTGCAATTATCTTTGTCCTCTTTTAGGCGATATTGAAGTGTAATGTAACTCACATTGCAGCAGCCTGTGATCAATAAGCCTTTCGAACCACTACACATTAAAACCTATACTCCAACAACACAAATAAACTAACCGATTTATGAGGGCAAAACATACGTCATCATAATAGGTGATGCCAATGCAACGGAAGATAAATGATACAGTGATGAGAGGATGACTGGTAAATTTGGAGAGAGAGCCTCTACTAAAGTTTAAAACCAGCAGAGAATATAAGATAATGATCAACTGTATTAAAAAAGGAGCTTAGAATATGGACATGTATGTATGTTGACATTCTTTTGCACCATACGTATCCGACTGATAATCGGAAGTGCAGGGGAAGAACAGCAAACTAAAAGCTAAAAGCAGTTCTAAAGAAATGAGTTTTCAATCTATGGATGAGCAAATATGGAGAAAGTGGAAATAAACTGTGCTTGTTCTCCATGGGCAAACCTCATGGGCAAAGCTACGATTTTCAGAGATGTCCCTGTGCTCGATAAATCCATGACAATAATTGATCGCAGGCAGATGCAATGCAAGTTAAACTTCATGAAATAACGTTACAAATCTAGCTTAGAATGAACACTAAATTAAGACGGCTTCAAATCAACAGATTCTACTGCGGAGAGCAGCAAAATTATTAAATATATCACCAATTTTAATAATGAAATAACTAACATCATAATCAAAAGGAATGAAAATACCAAACAAAACAAAGAATACACTAAACTTTTAAAACTATCAATAAAATATCCCATATATAAATTGAACACAACAATAATGATTCAATGTCACAACAAGAAATTAAAGCATGAAATTCCTCAATCGTGGCATGATGCCTCAATCACTCATATTCAAAAAGGTAGAGCTCACTAATTTCGGATCCATTAGCCTCTTCTTGCATGTATATAACTTGTTCAAATAGATCATAGAGAAGCACATTGAGGCCAACCATAACAGCAGGCTGGTTTAAAACATGCAATCAATCACATTCTAAAAAGACAATTACATATGAAATACCATGACACATGGCTTTTGTAGACTATGCATAGGCATTTAATTCAGTGGCAACCGATGCAGTCACCCAAAATCTCACAAGGTACTAAAATAAAAAAAATATAAAGATGCGTGTACAAAATGACAAACTATAGTTCACAAAAACAATCAGGCAAGGTGATACTCTCGCACTGAGGCAATTCACACAAGAGGTTTCCATAAATAACTGAATTGGATAAAGTGGCACAAACACGAATGTGGAAGATATTTCGCATCTCAGATTCGCTGACAAAATTGTAATTCTAACAACAATTGTTAATGAACTACATTAAATGACTTAAAAATGTATCGAAGCAGAAGAGATAGGCTAAAATTAAACATGACGAATGTACACCAGGTTCGCCAAAAAAAAGGAAATTGTTGCAAGGACAACTGGAAAATCATTGAAGACTGGACCAGGATCAAAATAATAATAATTTGTAAACGAGAGCAGAATTTATTGATTTTGGAACTGAACTGAATAGAAGTAGCATTCCAATGGTCCTCACGAATAAAGTTTTTCATCAGTGCACATTACATGCCAAGGCATGCATCAGAAATGTTGACTCTAACCAAGTACATGGGTCACAAGCTGAAAAGTAAATAAAGAAGAGGAAATGCGTGCTGAGAATTAAACTGAGACAGATAGAGGGAGGAACAGATGGGTCAGACAACAAAGACAAATTTACACACACAGTGTGGAATGTTAAGAAAGAGTAAGTGGGCTTGGGCAAGATACATCGCTCGAAAGTATGTTATAAATAGACAAGACTGGTGATGAAATGGCAGCGAAACAATGGGGTGTGTCAAAAAGGACGACCACTGTAGAGATGCAGTGTTGTGGTAAGGTCATACGCACGAGTGACATTGATTGTAGCATTGCAAGACCGTGAGCTATGGCGGCGTGGGGGAGGATTGAGAATGGCTGCTGATGACTTATGTCCATCAACTTTGATAAGGCCCATACCGTATGTTGAACAGATCATTCTTGTTCAAGTAAAAAAATAAACATTCTTGATTTTGTAATGGTTTCCTACATGTGTTTTTTTCCTGGGAAGTATGTTTTTTTATGTTTGAATATGCGCAGCTGGTTATGATATGAATCGCAAACTAGAACACGAATGAAGATATGGGAACAAGACTGAAACGTGAGCACAGAAACATGTTGAGTTGCATGCTTGGAATTATATTGAGAAAGAGAAACATTGATTAGAAAATGTATGCAGTTTAAATTCATCAAGTTGACTCTGAAGAAACGTGGGCTTGTACAGGATGCGTCGCTAGAAGGGATGATGGGGCTGGTGATCGAGACTAACGATGGAGTGGCAGCCAAGGAAGGGAACGCAAGCAAGAGGGTCAGCTACCACGGAGATGGAACAATTAAATCAACACGCGTCCTGGAGCTGGGTGGATTATTACATCGCACGACCCAGGGAGATGATGATGGCTTGGGGAGGCCTTCATCCAGCAGTGGATTGATTATGACAGATGATATTCCCAGCCTGGACAAGATCTTTTCACACGGCGTATGATGTGACGTCGCGTGAAGCCATAACATATATTGACGTTATCGGTAGGTGCGCATGGTACGTGACATCATCGGGCAGCACGAGACGATGTCACAGGGTACATGACAGGCCTTTGCAAAATGTCAACACACGATGACATCATCGCAGGTAAGCAAATGGTGTGTAACATCATCGCGTTGGCTGAGATTGCGTATTACCTATTGTTTATGTGGTTTTATCACAAAGTTTTGGAAAACTAACCTTGGAAATATTTGTCAAGTTTTTTTTGGGCAAATACCTACACAGAGAGACATAGTTTACACATGTATGCTTTAAACCTTAATTTGAAAGTGTTAATCGTGTAATATATATGGAAATGTTAGTTGACAGTTCTCACAGGTTTATCAAGATGCATTGTGGCTTGTACCATTTAAAGTTGTATATCTGTACACATGCCTATTTTCTGATTCCACTCACATATATCCACGTTTTAGCTGAGGCATGCTCAGGGGATCAGTCATGCCAAAAGCACCTCTCTACAGCACATGTCCTAGAATGGGTGTTCTGGGATACTTCAGATACCATTACATACTTGTTATTTGCATCTCACGGTGTGCCACCTTCACTAACCTTCCACCACATCTTGATATGCACACCGCATAAGTAGATGTTATCATCATAGGTATGCCCATTTAATCTCCAACCTCTTTCCCCAGATACAAGAGGTTATACAAGTATATTGAACAGTCGAGTTGGGATATTCTATTATCTGAGTACAGTAAGTTATTACATTATCGCTTATTATAGGTACCTACGTAGGTACCTACGTGACTTTACCGAAATAACCAAAGAGTATGGATTCCTGCAGTCACGAAAGCTTAAAATCAAGATGATCGCTTAATCGCTCTACAAATAATTTCTCGACTGATGAGAAAACACCAAAATGCTGTCGTTCAGAAAAATAGATATTTCAGCCTCTCAAGCCTGCCCTGGTACCTTACTGGTGGATGCGCCCCTGCAGACCATAGCTGCCCTGCGACTCGACGGTGAAGAATCCCCTAAGGATGCCCTGTGATTCGTTGGTACTGCCCTAGCTATCCCTGGTGGCCCATTGTTGTTGGTGCCGGGGCCCCCAGTTGCTTCATCCACAGCTGTGCCGCAGCATCGCTCTCTCTTCTCTCTCCCAATTTTCCCTAACCCTGACTGACCTTCACCCGGTGACTTCTACACTCGTGTATTTTCTTTTCATTTTTGTAAAGCATCGTGGGATGCAATTGCATTTAGACAATTTACACATTGCAATCATTGTTGTAGTTTCAATATGATGCCAGATGGTAGGAACTGTGCAGGGCTTGATTACAGCATTGGCTTTATGAGTTAAGTCATGCTTGTAGGGGTTGTTAAGGTAAATGCCAATTTGAAAGGGGCCTCAGCAATTAACCACAAAAAAGTATTCAATTATAATTTTCAGTCGCTTAATCAACTTAAGTGACAATTTCCCAGCTCTTTTAATATCTTTGGGCAGTAGTGTATTCAAATAATGTTTTGAAAATAACGTTGCTATAATACGATTGTCAAATAGAGTTCATTGAAGCATTATTTTGTTGTCAGCACTACTTCATATCAGCTTGGGTTAATATGAGGACAGCAGCAAGCCTACAATAAAAATTAAATCATTCTGAATAATGTTGAATATAGTAATCGTGAAAACAAATCACAACAGTCTACTCTTACATTACTCCTCTCACAGAGTTTACATAAATCGGTAGAAGCACATAAACCACTGAAATGGTGAAATCTATTTTAGTGACAATTATTATTCCCGTTCTTTTGTTAGCTTAAGGAGGTAGGTTAACAATGTAGGGATTTGCATTAGGTATGCGTTTCAATGCCACAATATCAAATCACTTATTATTATCGCACAGGGCATAGCACCAGGGAAGGCCTCACCCCGAAGTTGGATGCGGCAAAGCGGTCCGAGGCAGACACATTGGAGGTGGAAGTATTGGTGTGAGCGTAGTAGGCGTTGATATTTGCGAGTAGATTGCTCATAACGGCTGGCACTCCAGAACACATGTACTTGGAAGAAAGGCAAGAGAAGTGGCTGCAAAGGATAGCAAAACAACAGTCAGATTTTAGATACATATTAAAAAAAATTACCAGGTAAGGCCCCCTGAGCTATATAGCTCAGTGGCTTGTTTGATGTTGAGTGTGAGATCTAAGGGATTTTTTACTGTCAATTGAGCTATTTGGTCTTTCCAATAACCTGGTATTTAGGCTCAGCACAGCTGAAATGCTACTGTGCGTGTACATAGACTAAACGTAGCAATCACATTACGCTGTTTTCAAATTGCTACACTGGTCGCTTGCATAATACAATATTAATTTGAAGGGCTTTCTGCTATTTTTTAAGGCTTAAAATGACTTGAAACGTTCTGAAATTTCATAAGCATTTCCTCCTCACATCTTTTTCTGTAACCTTTGGTTCACACTCACCAAGTGTATATTTTGTCCCTCTGGATTAACTGAAACCTAACTGACAATCAGCTTGCCATATATTTTTGGCTTGTATAAGGTATATGGTAGGGAAACCTTTCTGAAACCCAGCTTGTGCATGTGGTTGGTTGGCCTCTAAACTTTCCTTTTTGATGTTTCTGAAATGTATATAGTGCAATACAAAGCGAATGATTATTTAATCATTCAAGTGGGTTTCACATTTTTTTTTAAAAGGGTGTATGTATTATTGCATGATTGAACTATATTCTGGAAAAAAAACGAATATATTTCAAATAACATTATTCCAAGCCTTCGCAGACTATGAAAAGACATTTGAATATGTGGCAACATGAAAGATCCGAGAGAAATAAGAATTAAAGTAGTATGCAGTCTGGAAGAATGATTATCTGCCCTGTGCTGTGAAGGATGGTCATTGCCCAAAACATTGCCCATTATATATTTGGTTTCTCTCAAGGCAGTGTTATTTATAGTTTTTTTTTGTGTTTGCAGGAAAATTAGTTGGTGATGCCTGACAACAACCCACATGTGGTCAAGTCACAGAGGGTGTATCCTGTGATTTGACATTTTCAATTGCAAAGGTGACATTGACGCACCTCTCACGTGTTCCCTGAACCTGTTTGGCAGCTCTTTGTCTTACAAAAATATACATTGCAAGACATGAGGCACACATTCGCACACAATCAAATACACATGACTGTATCTCGTGTGGAAATGTCCCATTGGTCCATGCACAAAATCGGGACTAATGAGATGTCCGATAGTTATGCGTCAGTTTGAAATTTACATTTTCCAATTCATAGAAATGTATTCTTTACATTGATTACCCATTTAATCAGGTTTATTACAAAATAATTATGACTATCTGGATTAATAAGCATTTCATTCATTGTAAGGCTTTCACTTCATACTGAAAACCCTTCATTTTGAATTATGTAATTGCTATGCTTAAATCGGACGCCCGACTACTGCTTACGTCATAGCTTGATAGATGGATTCGATGCCATAGCGCATGGCAAACTCATCCACAATCTCCTGGGCTGTCTCCTCGAAGTAAACCTTCCATGCTTCATCTCCTTTAGCTTCGGGGATACGCACAGCCCCTCCGTTTTGCACATCCGTGAGAAAGTGGAAGATATTCTGTTGGTCACAAACAAGGATGTCAACGCTGATAAAGTCCCAAAGAAGCAAAAACAATGATATACTGTACTCACATTGTATTTTTAATATACATGTTTAATTGCAATTACAAAATGTTTTCCCTGTAAATGTAATAACGTACTACTGTAAACACTAGGCATGTAACTATGCATTGATCATTGTTTAAAATCTCATTATACTATATATGCATTTCATTGCAGATATACAAACATATGTATTTTAAAATTCATATATGGTGTCCGTAAATGGTTCATGCAAATATAAGTATGCTTGAAGTGCTACCTTCACTAAAATGGCAAAAGTAATTATACAATCTTAAGTCGAGTCATGACCCAGAATCACAGCGAGTCACCAAATCACAAGAAGGACACATCTTTACATGTCTGAAACGGCTGGCCCTAATTCCTAGCGCTATCCCCCCCCCCCCCCCCCCCGCTACTGCTAATCTTAAGCCCTAGCGTAATCCATAACTCATAAACCTAAACTTATGCACCAGCCCTACCCATAACCATAATCCCACCAGGTGACTCAAGGGACGAACATAGTGGCGTATTAATCAGGATGAATGTAAGAGGTTTATAGGAACATGTATACGTGCTAAAGCAATCTATGAGGCGTGCTTACCTCATGAAGACCGGTATACTGTACGTGGTATGGCGCCACCTTTTCTTCACCCTTAATCTCAACACTGATCTGCAGGCGAATAGCCCCGGACACCACAGACTTGTCGGTGCGCTTCTCTGTTGGTGCGTCAGAAATTCCATCCATATAAATGCTTGTGCAGCACATAGACAAATGCCAATAAGATTGTAAAAGTAATTCATCCAACAAACGTGAAGCATTAATCCACGTGAAATTCTTAGTGATACACATTTTTGTTCATATATAGTGAACCTAAATACATAACTGTGCATGTTTCACCTTTAAAATAAGAGAAAGTATAAACATTTCATAGTATAACATTGTTGTAATATGTTCTAAATACTAAAGCATGGATACAATTTCTAAATTTAAAGGAAAGCAGTTCATAATCACATCTTAAATGTTTATCAACTGAAAAAGGAACTTAACAATTCTAAAGGTTTGGTGCATTAGACATTTCTATTGAAATATTACTACCAATTCCAATATTATAGTTAAGTTTTTGAAGAATAGATCAAGGACATTTTTCTTTTAGGTTTTACTTAACAGTCAATTACGTGGAGCAGTTACAGCTTTGCATTTGGCTTTACGATTTTTTTCTATTACAATTTTGATTTAATATTTTAGAAATAGATTCAAAGGGGAAGCAAGGCAGTGATGAAAAATGGCGCAGGACAATTCCCCCACTAAAATGGCATTAAATGTTATATTTACACTGAAACATAAGAATCCAAATACGTCTGGCTTATTCAGTATGGTGTTTCCATAGAAGATTATGAATCCTAAATATGCATCAGTTTGGCCTTGGGAGTTTTTATTGGATACTAGTAAACAACTGCTTTAGCTCTATGAAATGTATTAATTTAAATGAAGCAAGTGATTCCTACACTTTATTTTAGCTCTTCGAGTTTCGTGAATGTAATGTAATCCTACCCTGCTTATGTGGCATCTTAAAAACCATCATTCTTAGCAGCCAGCCATGACCTATTCACTCCTAGATTAAGGCCTCCCCATGTTATCCTCATTGCTTGTGGTCCTGCAATTGCCACGGTTAATCTCACTCATACGTACAAGCTGAACTCATAACTCCATCCCCTTAGTAGTCCTCATCTTGGTCGTGATCACTCCTCGGTTGCCATTACACTAGCAGCCTCACCTATTGGCCTTTATCCCTTCTCGTGATGTGTTCTGCCCAAGCCTACTTTATTCACAGTTATCAAGATATCTCAAACTTGGATATGGTCTTTGATCCTCCGTATTATTTTTTCTCAAAGTGTAATTTCCAGCATGCATTTCGTTTCATGTTATGCTCCAGGTTAAGAGAGTCAATTTTTCTGTTCTTTTTGTCATGGCCTGGTAATACACATTCATCCAATGTGTTTTTTTAATTGGGTACATTGGTATATTTTTTTCCATTAATTATCAAATGTAGTTTACCAAAAGCGCTATCTCCTCTTGCTCGCATATTTAGTTCATCATTTTGATATGGATCTGCCTTCAATAACTGCCCTATTACTTACTATAATCACCCAGAAATGTCTGTCCGTCTCGCGCGTGACGTCACTCCACATGAGGCCCCTCCCCCCGCGTGACGTCACACCACATGAGGCCCACCCTCCGTCATTAATATTCATGAGTGGGTGGATTTTTACACTAACGCAGAGGAAGGTCCAGCTGAATTAAATAATTTATTACGCAAAGTCGCTTCAAATATGACGTTTCTTTACAGAAATTTACGGTAAAAAATAAATCTACGCAGCACAGTGCTACATCCGTTCGTGACGTCACTGCAAAAGAGCCCCCCCCCCTCATTAATATTCATTCCCCCGCGTGGAAATTTACACGAATGCACAAGGTCACGCACTTTACATGTCGCACCCCTCCCCTCATTAATAATCATGAGTGGGTGACGTCACTCCACATGCCACACCCCTCCACAATAACCATGATGGGGTGACGTCACTCCACATGCTGCACCCCTCCCCAATAACCGTTAGCGGGTGACGTCACTCTACATGGGGCAACCCTCCCCTCATTAATAAGCATAAGCTGAACAATTTTTCTATTGAATATTTCAGATTTACTGCAATATACACCCGTCCTTGGAAGGGCAAAAAGCTAGTATATGCATATGCCCGTGTTTATCAGTGGTATAGAATTATTATTTGTTCATGAAAATTATTTTTATTCCATTTAGTTCTTTTCATGTTTATGTTGAGACCACTTTCCAGCCTTCTTTGTCATGCTATTTAATAATTTCCTGTAAATCATTACCATTGGTTGTTTTCATGACGAATATAACCAGTGACTCTGTGAAGGTCAACAATTTCACTTTTTTATCTTCTGTTAATGAAAATTATTTTTCTTCCGTTTTGTTCTTTTCATGTTTATGTTGAGACCACTTTCCAGCCTTCTTTGTCATGCTATTTAATAATTTCCTGTAAATCATTACCATTGGTTGTTTTCATGACGAATATAACCAGTGACTCTGTGAAGGTCAACAATTTCACTTTTTTATCTTCACGCCATCATTGTTAGAAAGTATCGTCAAATGTCACTGCAAATAACCTTGGTGAGAGAGTATCATCTGATTTGTATTTTGTCTTCCCGCACTGGCATAGTAGTAGCATTTCCACTGCTGTTTTGACAATAGTTTAATAATTGCCATGAATATATTGATTTGTTAAAGAAGCCCCAGTGCATGTTGTTGTAATATACGACTAATTAATATGTAAATTAATATATATTGCGGATCAAGATTATTAATGACAACATCCGGAAAGGCAGAGATATCACAATACCAAGTTCAGTAGCAATTGGAGCACATACCTAGGTTGTACCAGACGTCCATCTCGCCGCTCAGCGTCCGCACCTCGATGATTGTTTGACCGAGAAAGTCGTCCGACTCCCTCTTGAGGCGCTGTTTCACGCGAGACTTAATATCGTCGTCCTCATCCCACACACGCACCTTGATCCGATCGGATGAGTTGTGGCACTCACTGCAATGGGTGGTGGGAAATGTGGTAGACATTGATAACGTATCTATGCACTAACATGTCTCCTAAATAAAAGGGAATGCATCGGCAGACACTAGTCATTAACACCAAATAATATAACATGATATAAAATGGTATATAGTGTGGAACTCCTCTTGTCTGTGACAATTATAGGGGACACTTTTAGCATATTATTCATGAAACTAACTCATCCAAACCCGCAGCACCTGGAGATAAACGTGGATAATCGGAGGAATTTGCCCCCATCGCCACGGAAACTGGTATATATTTTTAAAAAGTTGATCAATCACGCTTCAATTTAACATAAGAACAGTTTTCATATCACAAAAACAAAGTCAAATTGATATCTTGCTCAAATGAGCATTGAGGCAGTGCTACGGCCCTCAGCCAGTGTTAAAAATTCCACATTCCTATGGTGAGGGCACTCGCTAGGTTATATGTAGGTGTCTACCAGTGCTAAAGTGAGATTTTAATAAAACTTTGCGTCAAATAATATGATAACAATATATTTAAAAATAAACTCAAATGAATTATGCTGTATACAGATAGTCCCCGAGTTATGATGGTCCTACTTACGATATTTCGATCTTGCGATAGCGATACGACAAAATTGTAAGATATTTTAAATTTCGCGCGGCAGGCAAACGCAGCAGCGTACGAGGTACGATACTGTACGTTGTTTTTTTTTTATAGCAGATAGGATTGTTTCCTGAAAAAAACTTTCTATGAAATTGCAGTTCATATAGGTCGGCTAAAATTTTACCTTGAATTTTACTTTACATTTTACTGTGCAATACAGTATTGTAATTAATAAATACATATAGTATATAGTTTATACAGTACGGTACTGTTTTGCTAAATTATCACCAATCTTTAAGACTCCTGGGTAGGCTAGGCCATCTTCGACTTTTTGACTTAGGATGGGGTCGTCGTAACGCATCTACATCGTAAGTGGAGGACTACCTGTAGTTAGTGATAATTATTTTCATGTTTGTTCCTCTGGAATCATAATGGATCGTGGAATATGAAGATTTTTTTTAAGTTGAAAAGGGTCATTACATCAAGAAGAGCTTAGCTTTCAATGAGAACCAACAATACATGATAGACTTTGATTGCATAACATATTGCGTTACAGAGTATATATATGAAACCTGCGAATTAATTTGTGGTTATCAATATCAGAACCAAAACATTTAGAAAAAAAAGCATTCTCTAAATAGCATGTATGTTGAACGTCTTTCGCACCGTATGAAGCCAACCATGTTAATCGGAGATGCGGATATTGTGGTTATTCGGTGCACATTTTGTTATAATATTTGCTGCAATGAACATTCATGTAGATTCAAACACAGCAAAACAACCTCTTAAGATAAATGATTTAATTTCAGAATCATAGCTTACAAGTGAAATTTCTCTTCCCAGACTGGGTTGAGATTATTGTAAATGGTCTTGGTTCTCTTCTTGGTCTTTCCCACTTGAACAGTGACATACGGGTCACTGGCCCCTGTCTTGTCCTTGGCTTGCAATCCTTGAGCACTGTGAACTGCGAATACAAAGAATACACGTTTTCTCGTTACACAACGTGGTACACTTCTGAGTAGATGCCTTAGTTACCACGTTGAGCAATATTCCAAAACTACCTAAATTATTTTACATTTCGAGGTATCTCCGACGTGTCATCTTCTTACCAGAAAAGATTATTTACTAGTGTCTCAATTGGGATCATAAATATTTCCCCTTTTCATGGATTTCATATAAACATCACAAGAACAACAAAGTCATTGCAATGGATCCATGACGGTTGTGTTGGAGTCTTTTTTAACTGTTCCCTATTCTGAAATATGTACTTGCTTGTGGTCAAGTGAAATCCCATCACGGTCAATTAGACCCCCATATACAAAAAATATATGACATAACAATTTAACAGTATATCTTGTGTATTAGTTATCACCTGCACACAGGCAATCTGAAAACAAGGAAGAAGTGGAAGAGCTCTAAAGGCATTTCTTTGTCTCCCATGTGTGTGTCTACAAGGGAAATTAATTCAAATAAAATAGTAGAGCCTACAATTAAACTAAATTCTCACATGCGATGCCATGCTTCTTAATTATGTAACATTTTCCCAGGGTTAATTTAGTTGCGAAAATTTTTATCAAAGTGTTTATTCAATGTATTTTAGTCAACAATGACCAAGTAGCTAAAAATCATCGAATATGACGATGTCTAAGATTACCCACTCACGCCAGAGTGACGAGGTCGAGATGGAATTAACTCGTCTCAGTGAAATAACAGAGTATGATAACCGAATAATATTATTGGAGATTTCAGCACAGGGGAAAACCAAAGATACGTATGTAAAAATATAAACTGAGTTCATCTGTTTGTCTGACCTGCTAATACTGGGGTGGAGAGGCGAGATAATTTTGTGTCCCGCGCATTTTCATTTAATATCCTTAAAGCGGAATATATTTCTACTCCTTTTATGAACGAGACTAAGAGAATGAGAAAAAGTAATAAAAACTCAAGACTTCACAAAAATTCCATAGACCATGGCTAAAATAAAACATAATTCAGATTATATTAACACTGCATTAGTGTTATGATACCACTGATCTCTTTTATCTGCAGTCTCTAAGGGACTGCAGTGCCATTCACCTCAATGACAGCGAGGGAATGAGGTGAGTGAGCCCCCATGCGCCTGTTAATAACTACTGCGCGAATTTGAAAGAATAATTGCAGTATTATAGGTGTGAAAAAGTGATTTCATCCGTGCATACATTTAACAGAAGTGAGCGGTGATAAATCTAATGCAGGCACAATATAATTGCATGCGCACATGGCATTTGTATTATAAATCTTTAGGACCATATTTTCTATTAAACAACACATTTTCTTTACTTTTGTTTTGCTTTGTGTTTTTTTACATTTTCGGTTGACATGATGCCTATTGGCATACTTGAGAACCTGATTTAATCACCAGGAACACATAGGCAGTGAACTCAAGCATGTACACCAAGCTCTTAAGGCTAATGGTTACTCCGACTATACAATCCGCAAAGCTATCACTCAAACCATGAAGAAGGACCCTCTTGAGGAGCCTTTCAAAACCATCACTTTACCCTACATTGCGGGGATCACAAAAAAAGATCTCCAAAATCTTGAATAAACACAAGATCCAGGTCCGATTCAACACATTACATAACATCCGTGATCTGGTTCCGTCTGTAAAAGATGTGATTCCGGACATACAGTACCCTGGTGTCTACAAACTAAGTTGCCTCTGTGGTAGTAGTTACATTGGAGAAACCAAACGACATGTCTCGGACCGCATTCGTGAACACAAAGCAGACCTTAAACACGGTAGGACCAACACCTCGGCCGTGGCAGATCACTGTTATAATTCAGTAGGCTCACATGACATTGACTTCTCCAAGACAGAGGTTCTTTGCAAGCCATCTGGCTACCATGAAAGATTCGTTTATGAGGCTATTCACGTATACAATCATAGAGACAATTTCAAACGAGAAGATGGATTCTGGCTTAGCAATCATTGGGAGGATTTGATAAACCATTTCGGGTCTTAATTGATTGTTCACGCTTACGATGGCTTTCAGACAGCATACATTAATTTTTCGTCTCCCCCTTCCTCTTTTTCGAACATAGATGGACTCGTCCATCTAAACAAACTGTCAAATCGCTATCCGTGGTGCAAACGTTTAAAAATAAATAAATACAAACTGCCACTTCTTTTAAATGTTCTTATCGTTGGTTTTCACACCTGATGATGACTGCTTGTGTTGCAGTCGAAACTTCGTGAGAATTTTATTGTTTTATATATATTTTATTGTTTCCCTTCAACGTGACTTTACCGAAAGAACCAAGAATATGTGTGTGTGTCTTTAGTGTTGTTAATTATCATCTGAATTTGACTGGATTCATCACTGGACTGAATTTCTTATTAGTTGTAGGAGACTGAAATTAGCTGTAGAATAATTAAGTTCCTATTAGGCTGGAGGGGTTAGGAGCACATGCATTATTAATACAGAATGGACAGCATATATGTCATATTACCAGTTGTAATCATTTGATATGAATTATACGGTGCTTTTAATAGGTATATACTGCACTCCTCATGAAAAATTGTAACCATGTCCCTTATTTATAATTATACAACTATTTAAATGTTGTTAACTATGGTTATCAAAAATATTAAAGTAGTTAGTTTGATACAGAATATTCAACATTTCAAAAAGGCTAGATATGAAATACTGTAGTTTATGAAAATGTTGAATATTGACTTTAAGCATTCGTGTCTGCAGGAATTCATATTCTTTGGGTCTTTCGGTAAAGTCACGTTGAATATGCCTATCGGTTCATAATCATTATCAACCATGATCTTAAAATCTGTACCATTGCAGGATGCCCAAAAAATAGATCTTAATGGCCAAACTCGGCCCTTCCTGCGAAGATAAATAAAATATTTTTCTTTTTAAGATCTCCGCTGGTGGATGATGGCCTCCAAAATGCATTGCCACCCCTCATGGGCTTGCGATACACCAAATCACCTAGCACCTGCACAAGAGCTAATCTCATGGCTCCATCTCCACAGCATGGTCTGCTGACCATGTTTTCCCACCTGAAACGTCGTGATTTATTTCATTTTATACCTATCTGACTTTCCCGAAAGAACCGAAGAGTATGGATTCCTGCAGTCACGAAAACTTCAATTCAAGTTAATGCATTATTGGGCATGTTACCTCCCTTGGCTGCCACTCCATTGCTATTCTCTCCTACTGACCATCATCCCTTCTCATGATGTGTCCTGCCCAAGCCAACGTACTTTTTTCATCATCATCATTATTACCAACCATGGGTCAATCCACTTCTGGATAAAGGCTTTCCCAAGCTGCTATCAACTCTCATGATCCTGAAATTTAATACTCTACCTAGCTCCAGCATGTGAGCTGATTTCATCAGTCCATTTCCATCCTCTCGAGCACATTCCATTCCTTGGTTTCCAATCCATTATTATACTTCTTGACCCATCGACCATCATCAGTTTCAATTATATTTCCTACCCAAGCCAACTCTTATTTAGAGAAAATTTTGTTTTATATCAGTATGTTCTATAATACGTGTGTTCCTTTTCACGTCTCTCAATCTAATCGCATATATCAATTTCTCGAGCTTTTTTGCACTTTTTAGCTTTTGTTTCATATCTTCTTCATTCGTGTCAATGTTTCTGATCCATACGTCACAGCAGGTAATACATACACACCGAGTACAACATTTTTGTCGACACATTGACATATTGATTCTAAATATCAAGTGCAGTTTTCCAGTGGCTCCAACCAACTATTATCTGCTATTCTATTTTACGGTTTGATCTCAGTCCACCTCAGTAACTGCCCCAGGTACTCACCATTGATTGTGATCTTTGCTGACCATTTGGAGGTGCCTTCCAGCACCATTTGCTTTACAGACTTCATGTGTGAGTTCTGATCACTTGGCGTGACTGCAAACACATCTCGGATGAGATCAAATATTTCAGGCTTGTTGCGTTCTCGCACTTTCATGCGGTCTTTCATAGCTGTGATGATAGTCTGTGTCTTATCCTCTGCACCATGCTTGGAGCTCTTTTCAGCTGCACCTGGAAATGTGGAAAAAAGTAGCATTATATATGAATATATGAGTGTTGAATATTAACGCATACAGAAAAGCACCGTATCCCCCCTGACTTGGAATATTTCTCAAATGAGTTTCATTTAACATCTTGGTAAACATTTCTATCCTTATATTTGTGGCCAAAGCACGGATAATTTGTCAAGCTTCCGAAGAAGTGTATATGTCTTTGTGATTGTGAGTCATGTTTTTGTTGTTGTTGATAACTTTTATACAGACTCTCTCAACTTTTACACTTGGCTGCATCTATCCTGTTTTCCATGCCCAAAGCACACATATGGTCAAGGAACAGCTATGCGTTACTAAAACCGCACTATATAAATGTACTGTAAGGACCATGACAGCCCTGGACCATGACACCACCACAGACCTAATAAAATATGGTCTACATCTCCCCATCCGGCCTTGGCTCCTGACCTTATATGCCACCTGAATGCACTCCTTCACAAACAAACACAGCAAGCTGCTGCTTAGATGCCAAATAAATTACGTTTCTCAAGCCAAATCGCACAAAAATTTGATCTGACTTTACACTCAGCTTATTTCCACCATAAGTAAAATAAGAGTGCCCTAACTGACTTCCTCTTCGAATTGATTTAGAGAAGAGAGACATCCCTTATTGATTAACTTAAAATTATAGCATAACCTTTGGCACAAAGTAACGTTAACACAATGTGTTTCTTCAGAAGAGTAAAGGGAGTCGTCATCAAGGCCTGCATTCCAATAACTTTCTAGGCATATGTAATGGCCACTCGGAATATTGTCAGCAGTTTACATTAGCAGGTTGCAATTGGCTTGAAGGGGGGGGGGGGGGGTCCATACAAGGCATGAAATACAAATGCTAATTCCAGGGGGTCACCTCCAAAACATAAAGGACCTCTCCTGCTTCAGTGCCCTAAAGAGCCTCACTACAATTACGATGGACTGAAGGAGACCCCTTGGATCAAATTATGAATGCATGATACTGCCGATACACTGACCGTAATGAGACATATAAACTCTACAATAAATTAAACCATCAATGAAACGTCAAAACAAAATTGGATTTCGTCATATTTATAACACACCAGCATACAAAGCCTTTCCAGGGAATTGGCAAATGTTGGGTCTCCTGCATGTTAACATTAATTCCTGCATTTCTTGGTACAATCCGGGGTATTTGAACATTGACCTATTTGTCAAATTTAGAGCGTGAAACCATTGGCGATAGACTCCCATCTGGCAGAAGAGATATTGGCCTTAATAGAAGAGGCCATGGGTTGGCTCTCAGAAGGGCCAAGTCGTCTGTGAAACCGTACCTTGTGACCCAATTGGGGGCAATGGTAGTTGCTATTGCCCCGTTATGGTGTACCTTCTCTATTTAACTTGGGGATCAGTATAACAATGTCAAACAAAAAAACTCAAACACCTTGGTCACGAGGAAGTCATCGTGTTTACAGTAGAAATTAGATTTCAAACGAAACCAATCAAGACATGGTTCACTGATAATGGAAGAGATCTGGACAAAATAACTTTGAATGCAAAGTCTATTTTCTGCAGTCTATGCTTTCTTGGCTGAGCAAATCTGCTGTGGAATGGTCAAGTCCAACCAGATGTTAGGCCAGAAGAACAAAACGGTGACTCAGTGGTGGCCAATGACTCAAACATTGGTGTGGTGGTGCTGGCGCCACGGAGTAATGCTGATGACCATCAATCATACAGAAGTGTGCATCACCACTATCCTCACCGTCATCATAATCATCGTCATTACTATGATCGTCATCCATCACTAACGCTCATTACCACTCCCATCATCGGTGCTGGCCTGACCACCACCTATAAGCTCACCACCACCAAAATACACTCATCACCATTGATATACTTACCACCACTAATACCACCGCGAAGTATTTCCTCGCTAGGGTCTGGAGATTAGGATGCGAATGGTGCATGAGGCCTGTACATATGCCAATGGCCACAAAAAAGCCCCCAGTCATTGGCTATGGGGCAGTACTTCCACTGCCCCCAAGGCTCCCTCTGGTTGAAGTGTGTGGGGGCACGTGAATGGATTGACTGAGGCAATGAGATGCTGAACTACCCACTAAGGAACCGGTTCTAAATGAAAAATCTTAAGAGAATAACTGAAATTAGCCACTTCAGTTACGCTTTATTTACAACTATTTGGGTTATTTGAAACATATTTTTTAATTAATGTTTTAGGTGTGGCATCACCCCAATACCCCAAACAGACCAAGTGTCCCTGCTGTCACTCTGCAAGGTAAGTAAGTTAAAATATTCCCTCATTTTGACGCAAACATCTCACAGTTTTTTTTTATATTCTTAAAACAATTTCAGTAAAATAATGTACACCACACTCGTCTTCAGGTGATGGCCGCTTGCGTTGCAATCGAAACGTCGCGATTTATTATTTTATATCTACCCACGTGACTTTACCGAAAGAACCAAAGAATACGGGTTCCTGCAGCCACGAAAGCTTCAAATCGAGATTGTGCACCACGTTGTATTAGACAATTCGACGCGGTTTCACGGGACTGGTGTGGAGATTGCGGCGAAGCACTCACGCTGAAGGCAGTCGGCATTGAGCAGGTCTTGGCACTTTTCATGGCACTTGACGCCGCACTCAGTGCAGCGCATGCCCTGGCGCGCTATTCCCCACAGCAGCCCCTCGCACTCGTAGCAGTAGGTGGGCGCGGTGGCTGTCCACACCTCGAAACGGTGAGGGATGGTGCACGAGATTGGGTAGATGAGTGCCTGCAGTGTCTTCTTGTACACGTGCATTTTCTGGAATGAAAACGCGGGGGGGACGAACGCCGTTGCGCATGGTTAAGGATGTGATTAAACGTCGTAATGTTGAACAAAGTTGTTCAAAAGACCACCAACCGAGTTCGGTTGACAGGGCATAAAGGCGTACATTAAAATGTAATGTAACATTACAATCTAAAACATGCTACAGGATTGAGCAAATATAAGAGGCTCATGAAGAGAAACAACGAGATTGAGCTCGTCTCAAATCGAGTCACTATCAGATCTAACGAAACCAAACAAAACTATTTACCACACGATACACGCAACAAATGCCATGTAAACTAGATTAGTAAAAAATAGATTAAAGAAAAGATTAGAACATCAAGTTTGAAGTGGAAAATAGCTTCCATCAGAGAGAACAACACAGCAAGACAGAGGCATACAAATCAATGGAGAACCATCTATAGTAATAAACAAACTCAGGGGAAATTGCATTTTGTACAATGAGCACAACATGCTTTGTTGCAAGATTTATGCTTTATTGCCAGAAGCTGCAATTAAAATGAATGTGTACACACAAACCAATTATTTACTAACACTGTCCAATCCCCATCATTGAAATGCAGCACAGTATAACAAAAGCACAATAAAGATTGTAAATTGTCCTCATTCATATTTGGAGAATGTTTCAGCAACCTGAAGAACTGATTAACCAGATTTCCACCTGTATGCCAGATTTGAATGGTTGTCTCTCGAGCAGAAAGACAATTCAGAAATATATGTCACTACATATAGTAAAAACATTCGTCTGACAGATATTTTCAGACACTTAACAGCATGTATGATTGTTTAAATAACCAGTATTTATTTCACCTTTTTACTAGGCCCTATAACGCAGTGATTCTCAAACTTTGAGCTTGGTGATTCCACTCAAATAAATACTTGTATACACACGCACACACTCAAATAAATACTTGTATACACACGCACACACGTTCACACGCATCTCTATACACAGACACACACATGTAATAACGATAAGTTTAACATTTATGTTTAAATATAAATGTGAAATGTTTTTTTCATATATAACAATGAACAAAAAATATTACATTTAAATCATTTTCATTGTTTATGAAGGTTAAGATAAATAAGGTCAACGTGCAGTCACAAATATGTTAACACCCACACAAAAATACAAAGATCCCCATATAGCCTGAGTCGACCTAGGGAGGCCCAGGACCAATAAGTGATGTTGGCCGTGAGCTGGAATCGAACTCAGGCCGCAGCGTGCTAACCACTACACTACCACTCCCCACACCCACACAACAACAACCGCCGTTCACCACTAATGGTGGTGACGTCACCACGGCGCCTGTGCCAGGCCAGGTGCACTCTAAGGTCATGCGAAGTGTCGAAGGCTCTCTGACAGGAGGTCACAGGACAGACCCAGGTGCCATGGGTTGACCAAGTGAGATGACTGACAGATGTACCAACTGTGCTCCCCACTCTACCAAATGTCTGTATTTTAGCCACCCGGCGCTCTGCCCACTACTGTGGGCATCGCTCCTCTGCCCTCCGTTGTTGCTGGAGGGCGACTGCCTTCAACTCCCCAACAGCATCCTTCATGAACCTCCTCCACAGAGGCCGATAGTGACACTGCTGACACCAGGCAGCAGCAAGTCCAATAAGCTCCACAATCTTCTGTACCACATCAGTCCATCTCTTCTTGAGTCTGTGCCGTCCCTGTTTAGCCCCATCTAACCGGCCAAATATAATCTGTTTGGGCATGCGGTGGCTGGGCATGCAAGCTACACGACTCAGCCAACGCAGCCTCGCTTGCCAGCAGAGCTCACTGATGGGACTGTGTTCAGATCTTTCAAGGATCTGTGAGCTCACACAATCCATTCTGATTAAACCCAGGATGGATCGTAGGCAGGCTAACCTGAAGGTTCCAAACTGCTGCAGATATTCCTTTAGAGGGCCACAAGTTTTGCAAGTATAGAGAAGGGAGGGCATAACTATGGCCGAGAAGACTCGTATATTTGTATGGAGCAACAGGCCAAGTAGCTTGTACAAAGCGTTCCGCAGCTGCTGAAAATATGCCGCTCAAATGATTCAGAGCGAGACCTCGGCTGACAAACCGGAGCTGGTCATAAGCACGCTGCCCAGGTACAGAATCTTCTCCACTCTCTCCACCACTCTCTCCACAACTGCCCCATCACCCCCATCACTTATGGGAAGTTGAGGGAAGGGAGTATTTGAAGACGTAAAATACCCAGGCAGGTGCTTTGTGGGTTGTGGGGCTGTTGGTAAGGCCTTATCTCTGAGTAATATGCTCCAGATTTAGCAGTAGTGTCTCCAACTTCTTCTCAAAGTGGGAAGCAATCACCGGATCATAAGCATACATAATGTTTGACCAATAAAGAGCCATCTCTTGACTGCACCCGGGCATCGATCCAGCTCCCATTGTATCTATACCAGATGGAAATTAGACCGGTACATCCATGGAAAGATTATTCAACTATGTGGTCAAAGAAGATGTTAAATCATGTAGGGGGCAAAGAACATCCCTGTCGCACCCCAAGCCGAACAGAAAATAGCTCCAATACCCGGCCACGCAACTTTACTCATGCCTACTAACCAGTGAAGTTCCTTAATGATTGTGAACAGACAGTATGGTACTCTGAAAGCACGAAGAATAACCCAGAGCCCTTGGCTATTGATGGACTTGACCAGGTCAATAAAACAGAGATGTAGGTCGTGTTGAAATTCTCTACACATCTGTTGCATCATACAGACAGAGAAAATGATGTCCATGAAGTACTGCCCGGTCTGATAACTGCATTGGGGCTCCACAAGCTTCTCATCAGCATGTCTGGCAAGGCGATGTTGAATAATCGAATTCTTGTTAGGACCTTTCCCAGGACACTGTGGAGGGAGATACCCCGAAAGTTGTTGCAATCAGTGCAGTCCCTCTTTTCAAATTTAGCCATCCTTCCAATTCTGCAGAACCAGTCCTGTGGACCACACAGTTGTAATGATGTTATATAGGGCAGTCTGCACACAAATGCCACCCTCCCTCTGCAGTTTGCTTGGGAGGTCATCTCTTCCTGGCCCATTACCTAGTTTCAAGCTCTGGATCGCCCTTTGCACTTCCTTAACAGAGGGTACATCAGCCAACCACTCACAAGGAGTGGCTACTTCCTCCAATATTTAAGGCTCAGCGGCAACAACAAAGTCGACCCCACCTTGCCTTACGATGTTGTTTGAGCTAAGGGGTTTTCCCTCCCCCAAGACATACATTCACATGCACACACACACACAGGGACATAGAGAGACATAGAGGGGAAAGTGCAAAGACACGACGAGGCATGAGAAACAAAAAAAGATGAGCACCAAGACCACTAGAAAAAAGATGTGCAATAAAACGTGACAAGGAGAGACACAGAGAGTGAGGCCGACCTCTTTGTAAATCACTCTTGATTGCCTCTTCACTGTTTAAAAAAAACACACTGCTCAAGCATGTTTACTTGAATACATGACCATGCCAAAATAATTTGACACTTTAAATGTGTTCCATAGTTAAATAAACCTTCATGTAAATGCAGTGTTCTTCGTAAAAAAATCTGGTAATGACACCAAATTTTACCGTCAACTCCATTAATCCCAAAAGAGCAGAAACTTATACAATTTTTTTTTAACAATGGAATCCCCTGAGACGGCGTGTATTAAATGCAGAAAGGAAACGCCCAACTTACAAGTTCCTCGTCGTTGAGCGAGGCTCGGGTGGCCATGGAGGAGAGAAGCCCTCCCTTCCTCTGCATAGCAGCCAATGACTGGTGGCGACAAGAGCAGAACAGCACCCATTTGGGGGAAATGACGCAAGAGGGCTATATGATCTAAATGACCTAGCCCACAGCCAAAAACCTCTCACTACCAATCAGGGTTTTTTATTTCAACACTGAAGCAGATACCTCATTTTAATCGTTTGGTTGGAATTAACATATTCTTGGTTCTTTCGGTAAAGAACCAAGAATATGAATCCCTGCAGTCACGAAAGCATTAAATCGAAATGGAATTACCATGTCCACTGTTTCAGTGTCAATGTCCTGAACGTTTTGCCTTTACCATCGGATGTTATCCCACTTTGCCCTGGTGTTGTTATTGCCAAACCTTTGTGCCTAATGGCAATCATGATTCTAATCCATAAAATATATACACTAATGATATGGGTAATTGAGAGAGTATTAAAACATAAAAATACAAATTTGTCTGTTCACATTTTAATTAGATTTACTTGAAGCTGTAACATAATAATGTTCAGTTTGATTATACTTCAGATATCACTCGCCACTAAAGTTTAACATAGCCAGGAATCAAACTCATGACACTGGGTTCACAGTATAACGCACTAACCACTCACCACTGCTCCGCTCCGCTAAACCGTGCACTGTTGCAAAACATCTACTGTGCATTATCGTGCAATAAGTGTCAATTATAATTAAAAACATCAGCAATTAATTCCCAAATATATATTCAAAATTACATAAAAATGCAGTTGCAATGAGTTACTTACCATTGCCTATCCGTTAAGCATGGACAAACGCAAATGTTTCAGCTTTAGAATTCATAATAATTAAACATTGACAATACTTAGAACGTAGCTTAATTAAATAATACAAAACAAGAACACTGTATGAAGTTATTTGACAGTATAGGCCAAATTGGTGTCAGTAACTATAGCTAATTTCTTATTAGTCCTTTAAAACATCAGAAGTGGCCAGACTGATGGCTAAAAAATGATTCAATTATTATTCTTAACCATTGGCAAGGTTACATAAATAGAGGCCAGGTAACTAAGCAGGCTAATAGAAACTGCAAATTCCATCTCTGTTCACTTAGTAATATGTTGCTCATGTATATTCTTTGAGGACACATCGAAGTAATATGTAGCCTGCAATGTGGGTATGAATCATTTAAATGTTAGCTCAATATAACACTGTGAAGTGTATATATATACACAGTTTGTAATTCATTGCATTTTTTATGTTAACAAATATTCTCTAGAAATATCAAAGAACAATGTTTTAATGGAAATGAAGAAAATAAAATATAGTTTCTACATCATTAGACCTCCTTTGCCAATATCAAAATGTAATAATAGGGTTTTTCCCTTTTTTTCTGGCAACAAAACTGAAACCTTTTTACGAGGATTCATGTCTGCATTAACCACAATACCTGCAGTCAAAATGCAAACAAAAAACATATCATGATAATATATGCATTGTCCTTGAAACTGATTGGTGTGATGTACAGTGAGGGAAAAAAGTATTTGATCACCTGCTGATTTTGTACGTTTGCCCACTGACAAATAAATGATCAGTCTATAATTTTAATAGTAGGTTTATTTGAACAGTGAGAGACAGAATAACAAGGAAATCCAGAAAAACGCATGTCAAAAATGTTATAAATTGATTTGCATTTTAATGAGGGAAATAAGTATTTGACCCCCTCTCAATCAGAAAGATTTCTGGCTCCCAGGTGTCTTTTATACAGGTAACAAGCTGAGATTAGGAGCACTCCCTTTAAGAGTGTGCTCCTAATCTCAGCTCGTTACCTGTATAAAAGACACCTGTCCACAGAAGCAATCAATCAGATTCCAAACTCTCCACCATGGCCAAGACCAAAGAGCTCTCCAAGGATGTCAGGGACAAGATTGTAGACCTACACAAGGCTGGAATGGGCTACAAGACCATTGCCAAACAGTTGGTGCGATTTTTTGCAAATGGAAGAAACACAAGAACTGTCAATCTCCCTTGGCCTGGGGCTCCACGCAAGATCTCACCTCGTGGAGTTGCAATGATCAAGAGAACGGTGAGGAATCAGCCCAGAACTACACGGGAAGATCTTGTCAATGATCTCAAGGCAGCTGGGACCATAGTCACCAAGAAAACATTTGGTAACACACTACGCCGTGAAGGACTGAAATCCGGCAGCGCCCGCAAGGTCCCCCTGCTCAAGAAAGCACATATACATGCCCGTCTGAAGTTTGCCAATGAACATCTGAATGATTCAGAGGACAACTGGGTGAAAGTGTTGTGGTCAGATGAGACCAAAATGGAGCTCTTTGGCATCAACTCGCCATGTTTGAAGGAGGAGGAATGCTGCCTATGACCCCAAGAACACCATCCCCACCGTCAAACATGGAGGTGGAAACATTATACTTTGGGGGTGTTTTTCTGCTAAGGGGACAGGACAACTTCACCGCATCAAAGGGAAGATGGACGGGGCCATCTACCATCAAATCTTGGGTGAGAATCTCCTTCCCTCAGCCAGGGCATTGAAAATGGGTCGTAGATGGGTATTCCAGCATGACAATGACCCAAAATACACGGCCAAGGCAACAAAGGAGTGGTAATTGGTTTTTTACCCTTTTATCTGGCAACAAAACTGACACCTTTTTTACAAGGAGTCATGTTTACATTGACTACAATACCTGCGGGTCGGAACGCAAACAAAAAACAACAACTCTGATAATGTATGCACTGTCCTTGAAATTGATTGGTCCACACCCGAGACAATTTAGAGCTCTAAAGAAAGCTGTCTCGGGTGTGGACCAATCAATTTCAAGGACAGTGCATACATTATCAGAGTTTTTGTTTTGTTTGCATTCCGACCGCAGGTATTGTGGTCAATGTAAACATGACTCCTTGTAAAAAAAAGGTGTCAGTTTTGTTGCCAGATAAAAGGGTAAAAAACCAATTATCATATTTTGTTACTGGCAAATGAGGTTTCCAATGGTGGAACAAAGGAGTGGATCAAGAAGAAGCACATTAAGGTCCTGGAGTGGCCTAGCCAGTCTCCAGACCTTAATCCCATAGAAAATCTGTGGAGGGAGCTGAAGGTTCGAGTTGCCAAACGTCAGCCTCGAAACCTTAATGACTTGGAGAAGATCTGCAAAGAGGAGTGGGACAAAATCCCTCCTAAGATGTGTGCAAACCTGGTGGCCAACTACAAGAAACGTCTGACCTCTGTGATTGCCAACAAAGGTTTTGCCACCCAGTACTAAGTCATGCTTTGCAGAGGGGTCAAATACTTATTTCCCTCATTAAAATGCAAATCAATTTATAACATTTTTGACATGCGTTTTTCTTGATTTAGTTGTTGTTATTCTGTCTCTCACTGTTCAAATAAACCTACCATTAAAATTATAGACTGATCATTTCTTTGTCAGTGGGCAAACGTACAAAATCAGCAGGGGATCAAATACTTTTTTCCCTCACTGTAGATGCTCACCCCGAGCCCTCATTACTTTGACAGTGCATTGTCTTTGAGCTGTACGCCTTTTGGAGTCCTCTGGTCGAGCACCAATTGGGTCGAGGCTCAAAAGAAAGCCGTCCCTTGGTATAGACCAATCAGTTTCAAGGACAATGCATATATTATCATAGTATGTTTTTTGTTTGCATTTTGACTGCAGGTATTGTGGTTAATGCAGACATGAATCCTCGTAAAAAGGTTTCAGTTTTGTTGCCAGAAAAAAGGGGAAAAACCCTATTATTAAAATATAGTTATTTTTTTATCATGCACTAGGTAGGAGCTTGGGTATATAGTGTCTGCTGAAGCCCTACATGTTGCTACTTAAGCAGTGTTTCCCGATTGTTGCATCTCTCATATCTTTTCGTAAGAAGCTAATATGTCCAGGCAACTGTGCTTAAAAACTGCTAGATACGTACCACATCGCTGACGAGTGGAATTGTTTTTCTTCGGCGCAGATTGGGCATGCTGTCAATGCCATAGAGCCCACTCCCAGACCTGAACAACAAAGACAAAGATCCCCCGTATAGCCTTAACAGACTGTAGGGGCATGTGCTGTTAGCGAGCACCTATGAAGGCCGGATCGGTACACGAGGGGGTGGGTGGCCAGCACCACGCACGACCGCCTTTGTCTCCCCAGTGGCAATGTTTACACACCGCACCAGGTACTCATTTGAACAACACACACACATATACAGACAATTATAATTTTAAAGTTATCATTTTTACGTTAAGCAGACATTGTGTGAAGTGGAGAGTGGTGGTCCAATCCATATTCAAGAGTAACATTGGGGGTGATTATAATAGACATTCAGAAATAGAATCTTTATTCATCCTTTATTGCACTCACCATAAAACTATGCACAATGCAATATGAATACATTAAGACACAAAATACCTACATTCAGTAAGGAAAACACAGTATTAATTTATGAGAAGTCTATTGGTAAAATTCTGAAAGGTGGTAACCAAATACTGAAGGAACTGCAAATACGTACTATAATCACCCAGGAATGTCTGTCCTTAATGCTCTTGACGTCCCTTCATATCGACCAGCCCCCCTCATTAATAATCATGAACAGGTTACGTCCTCCACACGGACCCCCCCCCTCTCATTAATAATCATGAGCAGGTGACGTCATCTCCACATCGAACAGCCCCCCTCATTAATAATCATTATAAGGTGACGTCCTCCAAATGGACACCAACCCCCCCCCCCAATTCACAATAATTAGTGGCTGACGTCACTCCACATGGGGGCGCTAGGCGCCTCCTCCCCCCTCCTCGGCGTCAACTTATAACCGTCACTGCAAAGGAAGAATCCTCACGTCACGCGATCTCTGTAACGCTGTTGAAACATTAAAGTAAAAAGGACGTCATGATGAACAATGGATTATAACCTTAAAATGAAATAAGTCTGTGTCACCGCACTCTTACAAATTGCACACGCATTGATGCAATGACTATCAAGTCGCGGTCTGCTTTTCGCTTGCAAGTTTCACATTTACTGCAATACACCCGTCCTTGAACGGGCAAAAGGCTAGTAAATAATAAAATCTGCTGAGAGTAATGAACAATATGGTTAATCTTGTGGAATATGTTGACTGAAGGTTCAGTGGATGCTTTCTTGATTTTGATTGGATTTAGGGTTTTTCAGATAGTGTTGTAATGTACAAGTCTAGTGGCTACGCATGTTACTATTCATGTATATTGGCATTTGTGTAAAAAAAAAAATATTTGTTAAATGGACAATGCTTAAAATAAAATAAAAAATTGAAATTACATGTACCATTTAAATGCAACCGCATGTCATGATATTGTGCAAATCCATGGGACATAATTTATGATCTGTTGATGTGTAAAATACTTCGAGACTGGTTTGTGCCACACAAATAGGCAGCACCTCCATTTTATAACTTGGATGAGGGAAACTATGCCATTAGTTCAAGGAGTGGGAGGTCAGAGCCAGATGGTGAGGCTGAGGCAATGCCTCAGCTAACAAGTAGGGAAAGAGGAGCATATTATAAGTGGAGGCACTGTAGTAGAGAGGAAACAACAATTGGAATATTGTTTATTTATGTAACCCCTTGGAATTTACAGCAATTTTAAGTGGGAATGAGAAAATGTATTTACCCCCCATTTTCTAAGTATTCTCCCCCTTATTCTTAGTTCTTTCGATAAAGTCACGTTGAAGGGAAACAACAAAACAATAATATATATATAAAACAATAAAAATTCTCACGACGTTTCGACCATAACACAAACGGTCGTCTTCAGGTGTGTTGGTTTGCATAAATTTATTTTTAAACGGTGCATTTATTTATTTATAAAAAAACTTTAGTGCCACGCGCAGCGATTTGGCAGTTTATTTAGGACTAGTCCATCTATATTCTGAAAAGAGGAGGGGGGAGACGAAATTCACTTGGAATGGAACTTTCTACAAACAAACTGAGGGCACCCCAATGGGCTCCCCCCTTTCTCCGGTTATAGCTAACATTTTCATGGAGAAATTTGAGACTGACGCCATCCAGACTGCCACTCTGCGCCCAACCTTATGGAAGAGGTACGTGGATGACACTTTTGTCATCTGGCCACATGGCCGGCCTGCTCTAGACCAATTCTTCGACCACATCAATTCCATACACCCAGCCATCAGATTTACCATGGAAGTCGAAATAGATGGCAAGCTACCTTTTTTGGATGTCCTAATTAAAAAGAGACCTGATGGTTCAATGAGCCACTCTGTCTACAGGAAAGCTACCCATACGGATGCTTATCTGAAACCGGATTCCCACCACCATCCATCACAGAATAATTCTCTCATCAAGACTCTGTATCATAGAGCCCAATGCATATCCGACCAGGAACACATAGGCAGTGAACTCAAGCACGTACACCAAGCTCTTAAGGCTAATGGTTACTCCGACTATACAATCCGCAAAGCTATCACTCAAACCATGAAGAAGGACCCTCTTGAGGAGCCTTTCAAAACCATCACTTTACCCTACATTGCGGGGATCACAAAAAAGATCTCCAAAGTCTTGAATAAACACAAGATCCAGGTCCGTTTTAACACATTACATAAAATCCGTGATCTGGTTCCGTCTGTAAAAGATGTGATTCCGGACATACAATACCCTGGTGTCTACAAACTAAGTTGCCTCTGTGGTAGTAGTTACATTGGAGAAACCAAACGCCATGTCTCGGACCGCATTCGTGAACACAAAGCAGACCTTAAACACGGTAGGACCAACACCTCGGCCGTGGCAGATCATTGTTATAATTCAGTAGGCTCACATGCCATTGACTTTTCCAAGACAGAGGTTCTTTGTAAGCCATCTGGCTACCATGAGAGATTCGTTCATGAGGCTATCCACATATACAAGCACAGAGACAATTTCAACCGAGAAGATGGATTCTATCTTAGCAATCATTGGAAAGATTTGATAAACCATTTCAGGTCTTAATTGATTGTTCACGCTTACAGTGGCTTTCAGACAGCATACATAAAAAAAATGTTGTCTCCCCCCTCCTCTTTTCAGAATATAGATGGACTAGTCCTAAATAAACTGCCAAATCGCTGCGCGTGGCGCTAACGTTTTTATAAATAAATAAATGCAACATTTAAAAATAAATGTATGCAAACCAACACACCTGAAGACGACCGTTTGTGTTATGGTCGAAACGTCGTGAGAATTTTTATTGTTTTATATATATTTTATTGTCTTGTTGTTTCCCTTCAACGTGACTTTACCGAAAGAACTAAGAATATGAATTACTGCAGTCACGAAAGCTTTAAATCAAAATGTATTCTCCCCCTTGTTAAGTTATTTGAACGAAATTTCATATGATGTTGAATTTCATCGTGAAAACTTTTAAGTTACCGGTGAGATTTCTTGGTCAGACTATGATCAATAGATTGCACGTATAATTATTAATAACTTTGTAACATGACAATCTTCTTCGGTGGTAGTGTTAGTGAAAATACTTTTGGTATAAAACTACCATTTGGCCTCACCCAAAAACAAACATGGGTCAGTGTATTGGCTACAAAAGCCTACTTTTAAAATGTACATCTATGCTGCTCAATTTACATTAAAGTTTCTTGTGGTTGTTTGCACCATTCATGCAAATATCCCTGAATTTAAAAATATATCTTTAATTTAAGCTTTTTCAACTTGAACTACCAATACAAAAAATACATATCCGTGATCTTATTTGGTTGCATATTATTTTACAAACAGTGCTTGCACAAGCTCAATGTACAAATTCATAAGAAACACTGAAATGCAATTACAATTTTCCAATTATTCTGGATATGTGTCATTTTCTTTTTGTAAATGATATACTTTATTGTTTGGCAACGATTGATTGTTGTGTGTTCAATTGTACCAGAGCATACCCTGAATTAAAATATTCTTACAAAATGATGTAGATGTATGTTTTGAAAAAAAATGTAATTAAGTTTTGACAGGTAGCTCATAAGTGTAAATTATAGCCAGACCTATTAGACCACATAGGGCACCTATTTTTAGTATTTAAACTGAGTAGAACAAAATATATCTGAGAAACAGGGAAAGACATTTCAGGGGCCTGAACCAATGAAAGTAAACAAGCCAGATGGGGAAAAGGAAAGAAGTGAAGATTTGTTTTCACCCAGGGTACAATTTATCCTAAAGACAAACCCTGCCAATAACCAAGCCAGGCAGGAGGCATCTGCACTGAGGTAGTAGTTAGCACTTAGTGCATATCACAGCCATTTTGCTCTGGGTCATTGGTTCAACAGAATTAGAAACTTGGTAATGTTATGGGACATTGCCAATGCTCTTTTTACGCTGTAGACACAAATGACCTTCGCAAATCTCTTGTAAAATTAAGACATTTGGGGCACTGTCATAGCCTACATTAATATGTAATATTCATATTATTTATATTCGAATATGGTTAACCATATCTGTCTCTCACAAAAATATACTCTGCTGGCATATTAATATATATATAGCATGAAAACTACTTGGCAATGGTTGCTTGGTAAAAATGTATTTTCATTATCAAACATTAACTCATATCTGTTACACCTTTAGTAGTGCTGTTGTTGCTGGCTGCTTGACCTTTGGGCATGTAATCAGCAACCGTGATTAAAATAATATATATTTGTAAACAAACACGTCTTGATAATAAGTTTTCCCCTTTTTTTCTGGAAACAGAACAGGTGTTAAGTTAAATTTTGATTTAAAGCTTTCGTGACTGCAGTAATTCATATTCTTAGTTTTTTCGGTAAAGTCACGTTGAAGAGAAACAACAAAATAACAAAATATATATAAAGCATAAATTTATGCAAACCGACACACCTGATGATGACCGTTTGAGTTATGGTCGAAACGTCGTGAGAATTTTTTATTGTTTTATATATATTTTGTTATTTTGTTGTTTCTCTTCAACGTGACTTTACCGAAAAAACTAAGAATAGGTGTTAAGTTGTTAAAACGCCAAACTGA